TCTGCCGCTGTATTTTAGACCCATCCACACGATATAGTTGTGATAAGCCGCGACGCCAGGCACCGGACAATTGGTGACACGAGTTGATCCACGCATCGCCTGTAAGTGAACCTCAGTATATACGAAGGCATCCGACGGGTCGGATGTCCGTCGGCATAAAGCTGACCGTGATTACGACATTGATTATATTGATTACGATTACGATTGTGATCGTGATTGACGTGCGTGATTACGATTACATACGTGTCACGTGATTCGGGAACCAGCCCACGTCAGACACACTGACGCCGTGTACAAGTCGTCCGCCGAGGTCCGGCTACATGGCCGCATGCTTGCACGTTGAAAGCAGCCGGCTGGGTTGGCGAACAGGTGGCTGGGTCGAGCCTGACCAGGGCACCACGTGACTGCGGCGGCGGCGGGTGGCCTACTGGGGGCTCTGTTCAGGCTCGTCAGTCGACGAGAGGCCCACGAGCTGCTCGCTGACGGCCCAGAGCCGGGCGGCGTCCTCGTCGCTCCGCGCCCGGCGCGACGGCGTCGTCTCCTTGCAGTCGGCGTAGTAGCGGCCGCTGACGGTGTCCAGCTCGGGCGCCAGCGCGCAGTACAGCGTCGTCTGCGCGCCCTGCTCGGGGGTGCGGAGCGCCGGCCGGATCAGGCCGCGCATACAGCTGCCTTGGTGGCGCCACAGCTCAGTGCGCACCACGCCCGGGTGCACGGCGTACGTGGTGACGCCGCTGCCGACCAGCCGGCGCGCCAGCTCGCGCGTGAACAGCACGTTGGCCAGCTTGCTCTGGCAGTACGCCTTCCAGTCGCCGTAGTCCTTGGTGAGCATGAGGTCGTCGAAGTACATCTGGCCCTTGGTGTGCGCCAGCGAGGAGAGGTTGATGACGCGCGCGGGCGCCGCCGCGCGCAGCTGGTCCAGCAGCAGGTGCGTCAGCAGGAAGTGGCCCAGGTGGTTGGTGCCCAGCTGCAGCTCGAAGCCGTCGGCGGTCTCGGCGCGCGGGCACGCCATCACGCCGGCGTTGTTGATCAGCAGGTGCACCTTCGACTCCCGCTGGCGCACGGCGGCCGCGAAGCAGCGCACGGACTCAAGCGAGGCCAGGTCTAGCTGGAGCAGCAGGGGCTCGCCGCCGGCGCCCACCGTCAGCTCGCGCAGTGCCTCCTCGCCCCGCTCCAGGCTGCGCACGCCCAGGATGAGGCGCGCGCCGCGCCGGCCCAGGTCGCGTGCCGTCTCCTTGCCGATGCCGGAGTTGGCGCCCGTGATGACCGCCGTCTTGCCGTCCAGCCGCGCCACCGATCGGTACATGGGGTTCCAGGGCATGACGGCGCGCAGTGGGGGCCGCCCGGGGCCGCTGCAGCTGCAGGGTATTGACTGCAGCTTGCCTCACGCGGCCCGTTTCGCAGGCATGTCGCCAGCTGACGGCGGGCTGTGTACCAATCAGGATGTCCGCCACCCATGACGTAGTGTGACGCGCGAGGTCGGCGATGACTATTGACCTGTTCATGGCCGCGCCTCTCGCGTATGGTGCATTCCACGACACAACGGCCGGTGCATGGCATCCGTATGTCCCAGGCGCGGGCGAAAATTGGGCCAGGGGACAACTGCATGCAGTTTTGACGGATCATGGCAAGAAATGAAATAGGAATGCCTAAAATGACAAAAGTGAAAGGCTAGAAGCAACGTTTTAGACCCCTAACGTTATACAGTCTCAAACTAATAAACAAGGAGCTGTTGTACAGTTATTTTTTACCCTTATTTATTTTGACATTCACATTAAGTCGGATAAAACGACCTCGTGACCCAACATCACGTAACTTATGATGACCCTACTGCTGGCACTGGGCCAGTGCGGTGGGTAATCTCGCAAGGAAGCTCCTCCAACAAAAAGGTGCCTCCCCGTTATTCCATCTCCCGGTGCTATCCCGCTACTTTATCTTCGTGTTAATCCATCGGCGTGCCTGTTACATCGTCCAGCGGGGTGGCTGTTGAGGCAAGGGCTATTGTCTCAAGAGCCGACTGGGCGGCGAGCCCCTCACATGGCAAGTCCTGTCCGGCGCTAAACTATGCCAAGTCCGCCGGATCCCACGCCACGTGGGCCGGCTCGGTCGTTGCCCCAGGCTTCACGAGGTCAACCGGGCAACATTCTAAACGGGTCGATGGGCCGAACCCTGGCGCACGGCTAATTGCCGGGATGACCCTGCAAAATGGTAGACGGGGAAACCGAATGACTGGAAAAGGGTTTGAACAACACAAGACTGGATACACGCCATCAATGCTTAGGCACCTACTCGACTTGGTCGAATTACCAACTCCATCGGGAAATGTATAATGGATATAATGGTGCTCTTGCAAAGTTCAGCGTTGTAAACCAATTTGAAAACCAGGTGAAATGGGTCATATTTTGAGTTTCAATTGCGCTTACATGTTAAACAGAAAAAAATGAACCGCATTGTATTGTTTATTTATGATCTAACTTACGTCCGTTTGGTGATATTTTGGATGAAGGCGCCTATTTCGAATGCTGAACGCACTCCTGCCCGCACGAAATTTCGTTAGACATAGCAGATTTCCCCGATTCATTGAAAATGCAACCCAGTCGATAAGGAGCATTAAGGGTTTGCAATGTTAGATCTTAACCAAGAATATTCAATCGTTTTTCCTTGGTAAACGCCGTTGGCGTTAGTGGGGGGAGGGAAAGTTGAGCAGGCATCCATGACTCATCCCGTACCTTTCGCCGTTCTGTCGCTGCCTAATGTACTCCGCTTATTTAAAGTTGCCTACCCGTTCTCTGGTTCTTAGGTTCTGTTTCCTACGGCTCTTTGATACAGTCATAACTATCAGGTAAGCCAATCGTCCCTCACGTCAGCTGTTCTTCGTCTAACACGGCAGATTCACCGGTCTCTGATTCCTTGCCGCCCTGGCTTGACTACGCGCAGTAACGTGTGCTGCTCTCCTCTGTTTGGCTCTCTGAACCCAGCCATGGTCTCATACTACCGTTCGTTAATGTATAACGCACCAAGGGCGTCACGGGAGAAGTCCAGAGCACAAAATTACCTTAAGACGGACAAAAATCACGGGGTGTGCTTGGCTTTAAATCAGACCTCTTCGCAAGAATATCACCCAAACGTGTCCTTGCTGCCATACTTATCAGAAGATTACAGCAGTCGCTCTTGGCCGACAAGGGACACTCGGTGCTCTTCCACCGCTGTTTACATTCGCTGATCTCTTGCTAGGCTGCGGTGACATCACTGCGGACTGTCATGCCTGATTTCTGTACTATGCCTTTCCTGTGGCTTCAGAAGTGCAGAAAGTAGCTAGCCGTTCACTTTTTCCACGGGAGGAGTTTCCAGAGATATTTGAAAATTCACCAGTGACTGCGACGTCCCTCCGTTTCTGCACGTGATTCGGCTTACAGTCACTGAAATGTCATGAGCAATCTTGACAGAACGCTTTCGGGAGAAGGAAGATGTGAAGCTGCACGCACGCGAGCTTCTGTCGTCCGGCTGATTCCCTAGCAGGAAAGCTTACAGGTGGCACATATACTACGGCGTCGGCAGCAGGTCCAGCAGCCGGTGATGTATGGTGGCGGCGCTGCCGGCGTCGCTGCCGGCTCCGCATCGCCTTCAACCTAGAGCTGGCGCAGCACCGACAGTGGGACTGACGGCGGGGGATTCGGCCACTCCCATGGCGCCCAGGAGGGGAAGGGTACCACATAGCCCCGGCACAGTACTGGCTCGTGCGCTCGACTTCGCGTCGTAGCGCGCCACAGAACGCTCTCGCTCGGTCCACGGCGCCGACGCTGCCATCGTTTACCAGGTGAGCGCCGGTCAGCACTGCCTCCGAACGACGGGCCGGGAGCGAAGGCGCCTGCCTGCGTGCGACGGCGTGTCGCTGCTGCTGAGCCAGAGCGTGACGGCGTATCGCTGCTGCTGAGCCAGAGCGTGACGGCGTGTCGCTGCTGCTGACCCCGAGCGTGACGGCGTGTCGCTGCTGTTGAGCTAGAGCGTGACGGCGTGTCGCTGCTGCTGAGCCAGAGCGTGGCGGCGTGTCGTTGCTGCTGCCCCGAGCGTGACGGCGTGTCGCTACTGCTGAGCCAGAGCGTGACGGCGTGTCGCCGCTGCTGACCCCGAGCGTGACGGCGTGCTGCTGAGTCAGAGCGTGACGGCGTGTCGCTGCTGCCGAGCCAGAGCTACTCTTTGGGCCGGCTGCTGTTGTGGTCCCAAGCATCTCGGCGTCGTAGGCGCTTGGCGTTAATCTGCAGCCCCACCTCTCGTTCCGCCCGTTCCTACGTAGCTCGCTGGACATTAGCATGCTGCACTGCACGCTGTCATCCTCCATCTGCGCGGCCCTCCGACGAGATCCCCGCTCTGCATGCCATGGTGGCATCGGGCGTGCCTCGGGCCTGCGCTGAGCGTTCTCCGGCAGCTTTCGCGGCCTCGCGTTCACGTCGGGCGCGATACGGGGCTGAGCTTCTCTCCGTCTCCACCAGGTGCCCGTCCCCTGCCGTGTGAGCTCGCTGGTCGCAGTCGACGGCGACCGCCGCCTGTCGCTTGCCGCCCCGCCATTGCTTCATCCAAACGACGCACGCTGTCAACTTGTTAAAAACACCCATCCAGCACTCGGTGTTAACTCCCGCACTCCCGACACCAAAACCAACTACGACATGCTCATGTCCTCCATCACCCACGAAAGAGTTGTAGAACTCGTAAAACTGTAGTGATAACGAGTCAGCTACCGATAATACTGATCGTTGTGTCAACAAAGTAGTTGCGCTTTGTGTACATTTGTCTCGTTGCTAGACGTTACGAAAAATGCATCCCGGTTTGTTGGTAAGATGCACGCATTGGATGGCTGCAATTCCTGATGTAGGGGCAACCTGCTGGTCAGGTAAAACGTCCGCCGGACGCGCGTCGAAAGCAGGTGACGTCATAAAAGTTTGACGTGTGATACATGCCCGACGGCGTTTGATTGGATCCGTTCGATCCGTTCGATCCAAGACGGCTTGATTGTCGCAATGCGGATCACGCTTCAGGTCCAACTGTTCGCTTAAATCTCCCTGAATATCGCAGTGTACAAGAAGGCTGTAACCGGTAAGCCACCCATCGTATGAAACATGATAAATAAAGACAAACTAGCTGTGTGGGAGGCATTTAAGCATGCTACTAAACCTCCTTGCGCTCCTCTGTAAAAGACTGCCCGGTTTGGCCAGATGGCAATTGGGAGAAAAACATTGTGACGGCGATAGTTGTCAAAAGTTATGACCCTCTTAGCAAAGCCATCTCAGGCAGAGGCACGGTTTCTGACCTAGGGTCAGGGGGTGTAGTTTCCTGTTCACTTTGGAGCTTCAGCCTTCCCCCCAACTTTGGGAAGAAAGTCGGCAAAATCCGGGGAGAAACCCCTCTTTGTTGGCGTACTGTGGGATGGGTCCGGCCATTTTCCATTGTCTAGTCCCCCCCCCCCCAACTGATTTAGCAAAACTACGCCCCTGTCTGGGATATGCGCGGGCATCCGACAACCGCACGGCTAGCGAACTGACCAATCAGTGCCATGTGCACCGGAGGCCACTTCCCCCTTGAATTGCGATCCGAACTCCGTTCACCGGGTTGGCGTCATCGTACATGCCATTGGGGAACGCCTCTATTCCTAATATGGGACAAGTAGAATCAGATGATTCAACCCCACCAAGGCATACAGCGCACAGGAATGGCTAACTTGAAAATTATTCGAACAACAGTTATTGACAAGTGGTTTGTAGCCAACTACATCATCTATCACGCTCTCCACATGATATATAGACTTGCCTGTTTGCCGGACAAACAAAAACGTCCACAGCGCATCGACGGCTGCTAGACGTTGATATGTCACCACCGATGACTTGTAAACAAGTGCATTTACCTCGCTTCTTGGCCAAACAGGGAACGGGCCTGGGTTGTGATGTGGATAAGGGATGGATTTACCCCGAAGTAAGGGAAGGGATTTCATTGGGTTATGAAGAACGGGGCTCAGGTGCGGCCACCCGGCGATTTGACCGTTCGGTCACGTGGTCTCGTGTCGTCATCGGATGTAGCGGGCGAAGCCGCCGTTGCACGCAATGATGGAGAGCTGCGCCACGAGATGCGCAGGAGTTCGAGGACGTCAGTTGAATAAGTCGTCCCCTGGCCGCTGAACGGATGACAAGGACATAAGGCCACTAGCGAACATTTGGTGAAAATCTCAGATGGCTTGAAATTCTGGAGGTCCATCAACACGCGCGCTACTGCCACGGAGATGCTCGGGATCCTCCAGCGTGTTTCTCGCAAGCGTCTCGAAAATCGTTTGTGCTCCTTTGGTGTAGATATGTTTAAAGTTGCACAGGTGTCATGTGGTGTTCACAATTGTCGTTACCTGAGCAAATATTGTTCCGGGGTCTTGCCTGTGAGCTCCAAATATCCCATACCTAGTAGTCCGACCTTTTTCAACGTTTTTTCTGGAAGGCCGCGCATGTGACGCGGTGCATTCTTATACACTCATTTGAACGTGGCCCCAGATTGAGTTTTTACAGAATGTGATTGCTATCAGTGGTGTGATTGCTTTTAAAGTGTCTTAACAATTGTTGTACCTACATTATGGCGTCTGAGGCCTAAACGACTTGTGCGGGTGCTAAAAATATATATGATTCCGAACCAACGGCTCATTACGATGTGGCTAGTGTCGACTCGGGCGCGTTCTCTTTTTGTAACCTAACGTTATTCTAAACATGCTGTGTCTTATAGCTTCCATATTTCGAGTACGGGTTGCTTGTTCTGTGTGGCAGGCAGCCGCAACCGCCTCAACTGCACAAGACTGACGTCAACGAAATCGACTGGAATCGTTTGCTGACAGTGAGAGATGGTTCCCCAAGACTTATGCAATTACAGCATATGCCACATATGTACTAATTGGCGATGGCGCAGATAAACTGATTCAATGAATAGCCTAATGTTTGACCTAAGTCGGTACATTACGGATTAAGTCAGTCTTATGCGGATCGGTAACAAATGGAAACCGGTGGCTTTTTTCCAGTTGTCCGCGCTGTGCGTTGCGTTAAAAATGCCTTTTCTCCTGAACAATATTGTCCCTGCTTAGATCCAGAAAAGATCCAAACAAATTATGCCGCGGATGCAATCCTGTAGCTATCAAAAGAAACTCGAGCAATTGTGATTTCATTCATCTGCCATCGCTGCGGGTATAATACGTGTCTTGGAATTGAGAACTGAACATATGTGCACTAAATCATTAGTTGCTCGCACCACGCTGTCACGCCCCGTCCACACGTATACTACGCGCTTATGTGACTGACAAATCAAACTAAGAATCAAGGAACTTGAACTGGAACTTACATTGCAAAACAGGTGAAGTCGTGCTGGCATCATTCCCTTTGTTTCCTAACCTACTAGCCCATCCGTGCCGTTTTCAATCACATCGCTTCCGTGTTAAAAGATGTATTCCATGTCGCACACGTACTGTAGAAATATACTCGTTTTCACGCTGGCACTCCTAGAAAGGTAAAAGATCCAACCACGGGATGCCTCCGACTTGTATGCACATCGCCCCAGCACATCAGTGATTTACGTCACTAGATGTGAGGGGTCGGGCTTGTGGGACTTCTCTGCTACACCGTCTTCCCCTCCGCGGGCGTGATGTTCTCCGGAGCCGAGTCAGTCCCGGCTTGCTTTGCTTCCACAACGCCGCCGTCTGCCTCGAAGCCTGCGTTGACGGCGCCGCTTCGGCCGGGCTTAGTAGAACTGACCAATGGCTGAGCCGCGTCCTGGCGCGCAGGGGCCGCCGGCGCCGCCCTCGACGGCTGCGGGAAAATTATCTTCTCCAGCGCTATCATCGGCGACTCGAAGGCCAATGAGAAGATTGCAGCCACAGCGAAAATGATGGGCAGGGAAGCAAGAAACTGGTACACTATGAAAGTTTGGCTTAGATACACCGGTGCCTTGTTTGTGTACCAATAGTATACTTGAACGTCAATAGACACGAGGTAGGAAGTGTAGGTTAGCTTGCTGAGTGGAATAAATGCCTTCCAGGAGAGAAGTGTGTTAACAAAGCCTCCGTATCCAGTGACGCATGCAAACACCACCCAGGCCAGGCAGATGCTCCAGGCGGTGCGGTTCAGCATGGCGTATACTAAATTGAGAGTTTTCGGTGGTGGGCTGGGCACTCCGTACATGCCGTACACGATGAGGCAGCCGGTGAGGGAAGCCGTGATCCAGCCGATGGCGACCACAGGCGCTGGAAGGTGAATCTTACGGCCGCGAATCTTGTGCAGAATCCACCCCATATACAGCCCCACCAAGTAAGGTCCAGCCCTTGTCCACGGCTTCATGTAGCGCAGATCACCACTGTCCCCTCCAGGAAGTCCTATCTTATGGACCGCTGTAACCATGGCGTTAATGCCAGTGAAGAAACAGACCAGAAAGATTATCCACAGCTGCCCCAGCTTAGGCCAGTGGTGAAGAGGGAGAAGGACCAATGGAGAGAAGATAAACATCTGCATGTCGTTCGCCAGGTACCAAGTCTGCCCCACACATTGCTTGTCCATGTCTACCAGGTTGTTGATGTAGAGCATATTCGTCCACCAGTTGTCCCGGCAAATCTGAGGGGTTCCCATGTTGGCCGCCCCCCAATATGGTCCAGTGCCGAGATAGGCGTACAGTGTTGAAATAAAACCGATGATTAGCATCATCACGGGTGTCAGGCGAATGTAGCGATGGACGTAAAACATGACGATGTTTAGCTTTCCGTGCGATTTTTCAATGCTGCGAATAGCGATGTAGGCGACCAAGAGACCGCTTAAAAAGAAGAATGAGTCCACGGAGACCGTTGCGTTAGATATAGCTTGAAAAGCCACATCGCCCAGGTATGTATAAACCGTTGTTATGTTTTGATGCTTGAAAAATAAAAGAAAATAATACGTATGCCCGAGAATCACCCATGTGTTGGACAGGAAGCGTATGCCGTGCAGACAACTGAGAGTATCTCGAGTGGAGGAAGTGTCCAGCAGTTTTCGACCATTGGTGTACACAGAGAACGCTAGGAACACCCTGCGGAGCAAGGCGGGAAGAGTCCGCTGGAGTGCTATGTTGACGCGAGCCCACAACGCTTCGGAGTCCTGCGCGGCTTTGATAGCGACAATGTCCACCGTGGTCCCCACGAGCATGAGCAGGCCCGTTAGCGATAGTATGGTGGTCATGACGATGGCCCCTGCAGATAACTCGGTCTTGTCATCTTTGGTGTAGCAGAAGAAGTCTGGTGCACCAGCCGTTACTTTCCCCATGAATGCCATGTTGAGACCCACTGTGAGTTCCTCACTTGTACATGTGGAGGGAATGCACATCCCGATGTCCAGGTCTACCCCGTCTGGGAGAATGGGCAAAAATGGTGCCAGTGCCACACCGGCGGCCGGCGGTGGCTTGAACAGAGGCGCACTCTTCGACCCTCTTGCTTTGCTCAGGAAGGCAAGGCAGTACTTTCCGGTAAAGGTGGTGACATTTGGCTCGACGCCGAGGATGTCGGTGGCATTGAAATGTGCCGTAATGTTCAGACACTCGTCCCAGTTTCCCCAGGGACTAAGGTTGCCTGCCAGCACGCCGTCGGGCATCTTGCCGGTGGCGTCGAACATCTGCAGGGCCCACTGTTTGTTGAGGATGTTGAGCAGGTAGGCCAGAGTGCTGTCCAGGCAGGCGGGGCTGATGTTGGCGTTGGCGATGGGGCTGATATAGGGGCCGATGGCCTTGGCGATGGCCTGGTCTCGCCGGCTGGGCCCTTCGGGGGCGTCGGTCGGTGCCGAGGTGTCGTCGCCAAACTCTAGCTCCATTTTCGTTGGTACGCCTGACGGAGGACAGCGCTTGGGTTAGTTTTAAATACGTACTTGTTGGTCGCCGGCCATTTGCTGGCCAACGCAATGCGCAATTCTAAATGAGCGCTTCATGAATTTTCCAATGAAAGCTTCAACGATTCTGAGAAGAGGAATTATTTTTTTACCGCGAGGCTCATCACCTACTGAGCCGTCAAAGCTCAGATTCATAAATTGCCTAGTGATAAAATGCACAGTTGTTTAGATGATGGCCTTGGGGTGTCGGTGCATGCCAAAGGAAACTGCGTGGCCCCTGCTGTCTCTTGCCGCCACTTCTGTGTGCTAGGGGTGGTGCTGGAAACAGATGCACGCGCCCATAACAAACTAGTAGACATTGCTGTTTTAATATGTGAATGACCTGTCGATAGCATGTAGCCATGAACGTCGAAGAGCAACGCACTGAGAATTTAAAGTGGTCATACGTTATGCGTAGAATTAATCAAAGCAACCATGCATGTGATCATGATTTGTTTAATGTTTGTTGGTTATTTGTAATGATCTGGCTGAATGAGGGAAGACCTCTGGTGACCCAGGTATGAATTGTCCTGGGAAACGAGTGGTGTAAGCACGTCATTGAAATTGGTGGGGGAAGGGGCCGAATCAGGATTACGTGGTCAACCCGGAAGCAGGGGGCTAAATGACCTGAAAGCGGCACTTTCCATGCGAAACCGTGAAATACGTCTAATGTTAGGTCAAAATTAAAGGGAACAATTCCATTTATTTGGGAAACGATGGGGACATGTCGCGTCTGCACGCCACCTATACATCCGCCGGTAATACCCATGAGCTTACTGTCCATAATTTTGCTTGCATGACCTAGCAGCCAAAAGTTGCGTTGCTCTCACTTTCTGTTGCATGGCTGCTTTTCAGAATGCCAGCTGTCTGCTCTAGTGCTTTCAGATTGGAGCAACTTCAAAATGTGTTCAAAGTCAATGTTGTTCAAGCAAATGTTGTTCAACTGTTGGAAATGTTGTTGAGCAAATGTTGTTCAAAGTCATACCGGTTTCTCTGTCCATCTGGTGACCAAAACCTGGCCAACGCGGCTCAAACTTTTTGAAATATGAATTGGTTGCAGAACTGTAGAAGCGGGTTGGATCACTTCATTGCCTCTCATTATATGCAACAAGGGCCATTTGTTACTTGCTTCTGTGCTTTTAAACGGCATGTGCCTAGAAAATAAATGCAAGGGTCAATGACCGTCAAATCGTACTTTTTTCTGAACTTGGAGGGCCCAGGACAGGTAACTGGTAGCTTACCCCTTATTACTTTTTTCGACAACTTAATCCGGTTTCGGATTCAGAGCATTGTTTTCCTTACGTTGGAGTTGCTTACTGAACGTTATTTTGGGAAGAAAGGTGAAGTATCAGAGTTAAGTAACTGAAACCATGCATACCATGGTGCGTAGATATCAGCCAGTTTCTTAGATCTGGGAGGTGCATAACACAATGAGCCAGAATCGGTTTTGACTTAGGGTGGGAGTGAAAAACTTCATCGCAAAAAGCCGTATGGGAGTGAAAAATTAAATTCAACAAAATTTGGAACTTATGGGTCAGTGAGAGATGCTGCAGCAAACAAACACATACGCCTCAAGTTGGCATGAAAGGGATATCATAAACATGACAAGGTTTTTTGTCCTTCGACATTGTAGGTCATTACAGTGAAATGGAATACATTAAAGAAAAGCAATTTCATGATAGTGTGGTGAGCACCAAAAGCTATGTAACACCAATGTTTTGATGCTGCACTTTGTACACCCGTTGCCAAGGATTTTCTCAATGCAAAACAAAGCAAATGAATTGAGCGACAAAAACAACAAAGCATTCAACAACCATAAAGCATCCCAACGAAAGAACCTTGGACTCCTGCACGTCAATACATCAACAAATCAAAGTCAACAAACGAAGTGCTGGCTTCTGCTAAGGTGTGGTCAGGAAATAAAAATATTGTGGCACTGTTTCTTGCAAAATACCAATGATTATTTCTATTGAAGTCACCTTACTGAGCTGAACCAAAAGAAGCTTTGCTTTATCTTAAGCCGTTTAACCTATTTGTATCATAGCAGCCTTTGCCATTAACTGATTCTGGCAAGATTCCTTCTACCACTTGCCATGCAATTAGCCAACTTAACCTAACTTAGAGTAGCCTATATGTTAAACATCATCTCAACTTAGCTCATCCATTTCTTGACAACAGCAGTCGTGATAAAATCAGGATAAAGCTTATTTTTGGTTGATTTCAACTTGCGTTTTGTTTTAATTCATTTGTCAGCTTGTTGACACCAGACAAAGTTGACAACACACAAATCAAAGCCTCTCAAAATACTTTGAGCAATTTATTCTGATAGTAATGGTTAGCCTCTGTCAAGGAAAATACTAGGTATGCTCCACAAAACAACCTCTTTTCTCCAGCAAAACAAACTTACAGATGGCCGCAAGGCCAGTTTAGCTGCTTGCCTTATCAGCTGCAGTAAAGGGAGATGTCGGCTTCGCATTTTAAATGGAATGGTTATTTGCTAAAAACTTATATCTACAACTTGTAATTGCTGCGCTTAGTCTTTTTGTGTTAAAAAGACAGTGCATATATACAGTAGTCATTTGCCAGTCAGCAAACCATGGCAACCACCGACATCATGTTGTTAAGGCAGACGTGAGGGACCACGTCAATAAATTTGAGGTAAATAATCAAGAGCATGGAACAAAATAGTTTAATCACAAGTATTGTGGCATTAGAATGTGTCTTATGAACAAAACTTGATGGATCAAAATAGAAAATGGCTAAATCTGGTTACAAATCAAATAATAGACAATAATACCAAGACAAACAAATAGAAGAAAGCAGGTAAGTTTAGCAATTATTTGCTCCACAGGAGAATCTAGATACGGCAGGACCATATAACATGGTGCGATGGTGACACTGGAATGGATTAGATTTTATCATCGTTGAGCCCCGCCATGAACTCCTCCCCCCAAAAAAGTTTGTCCAGGGGTTTAACGGGGCGAAAATATTTGTCAAAATAAATTCCGTGCATCGAATTATCCCTTCATTCCCTATGAATTGTTCACTCATGGGTGCATATCAAGCATGTTTTTGGGCGGCTGGCGAGAAAAAGCCAATTTATACACGAAATATGTGCAAGTTTGCAGCTGACATATTTTACGGAGAAATTGGTCAACGTTTTAAGCCATACATGATGCCGTTAAAGACAATCGAAAGGGAAGGAAAGATGCATCACATACATATTTGTTCTGCTTGGCCTCATGCGTATCACACTCGTATGAGACCAAGAAAAACAAAAGTAATTAGATATAGGGGCGTACAGTTTTTGGTCAGGTTTTGTCATCGCCTCCTTTGACTTAAAATCTGGAGAAACGAGTGCTCAAATGAGGGTATTTAGCTTTTAGATTTTATTTCGAAGACATTTCATTTTCACTCCTACGTTTCGGGAGTGGTGAGATTTAGTGGTCAAGTTTCTCCGGGGAAAAGAATTACGTGTCGTAAAATTTCCTACCAGACTTTGCTGGTGTTTGTACCAGGCTTTGCTTTGCTGGTGAGATGTTTGCGTGGTGGGACAAAACAAAATGGTGATGCGCGAAAGCTTTGCATTTGGCACACAGCTGTAACTTATGTTGCATTTTGCAAACGAACCAAGCTTGATGTATGCAAGTGGCTTGAGTCGCTGGGGCTCTCGGACTTGGAGATACCTGGCGCCTTGCTCTGTGCACACATCGGCATGACTCATTTGTAGGGGAGGCAGCATATAGCCATAGGTGTCCAGGCTCTGTGGAGCCTTGTTTATATTGAATGGTTTCAAGTGAGCTCGGTTTTCGATGGCATCTTAAAACCTCTGAAAGGGAAACATGGGTTTGGTACGTGCGGTTAGACGAAATCAGGCAGGAGTGAAAAAAATCCCATGAAATATGGGAAAAGGGGCAAAAAAATTCCTTCTCATAGGGTCCTGCCTTACTCCCAAAGTCGGCAATTCTAGAACAAATCTAGAACACATAGGCACACTTCATGTACGTTGCACTCAACACAAGCTTCTGTATCATACGGAAGCTGAAGTCCGTCAGTACGCTTGCTGACGTAGAACAGCATAGCAGAAGATATTGAATGCGCTGGGCGAATGGCGTGCAGTCGCTAGATTTCTTACCGCATTTCCTCTTTTTTAGCATGCAACAATTTTAAGCCTCGGTGCCGCTGTTAGCTCCAGCCACAGAACACACCTCAAGCGCCCTGTTTACCCGGCATAAAATATACGTGACTTCACAGCGAGCGTTAAACAGCAGACAGCAAAACGCAACGGACTCTGCGAGATGTGTTTGATCTCGCGTGTGCTCCACGCCATCCGGCGTAATCGAGCGCATATATGCATTCACTGCTGTTTGTCCATGATGTATCACTTACCGCGGCTGAGGTTCGTAGGCGCATGCCTGTCACCCTGCCCGTGAAGCAGAGATTCCTGCCGGTCAAAGTCTTTTTTGGCGAGAAGGAGTTGGGTCCACGGGTTCACCCATGGCCAGTCGCGGGTGCTGTGTCGGACAGAGTGGCTATAGTGGGTGGAGCCGGTCTGTGCCAGACACAGTGCGGTCAGCAGCACTGTCCACAGACCAGCCATGCTGAGATGCTTGACGCGAGCGCAGCACTGATGAGCACGGCGAGTGCCGCGCACCGTGTTGAGCTCTTATCTGACTGTGACCTTTGTGACGGTGCCCGGTACTCGAGCCGAGGCGAAACGATAATGCTTCCATTCGAGTTCCTGACGCATATGTCTGAAGATATGTAAGGACCGAGACAGAAATCATGTGCCGGACGTGGATGCACCGTTTTGCTGTGATGGTCTCAGATCGGGCCATTCTATTTCGGTTTCAAAATAGTCATTCTTCCATGCCAGCACAACCATTCGATGTCACCCGACCCACTGGGGTTTATACGAAATTTCGTCCACAGGGTTTTCTCAAATTCTTCATCCAGTTCTGAGAAAAGCAGGGCGATTGGAACTACCGTTTTCGAGTTGCATGTATTTCTTCCTTTTTCTTATGTATAAATAATGTAATCTTTAAACGACTGTGTCCAGGAAAGTGTTTATCACAGACACAAAATTCAGCAACGAAGCGATAAACGGTAAGCAACACCATCTTTTTTTCGCACGAATATATTACAAATCTATAAGAAGTGCGTTTTTAATTCTTTCAGTTTTCAACTTCGATTTGTAAAAAAATCGACTTTATTACAAGTATCATAATTTTGCGACTATCCATACAATTTTATCAAGCAATCCTGAAAGAGCGTAATGGACATCTCTATGCTGAGTCACCCAGCTAGCACAGTCAGTACTCCCACGCACATCAGTGGGCCCTCTCTCAACGCCCCCACCCCCTAACGTCGGGTGCCTGACGCGGTTTGAGACGGCGCACGGGGAGGGGGGCCTTCGCTGGTTGACACGGATTGTTACCGACTTTTTTAAAGAATGCTCCACGTTTACATATAATGAGGCATCAGATATTGTAAAATAAGTTCACCTGTAGCCGTTGGTTTGCTTTAAGTTAAAGGGCTGCTCTGAACAATATTTAATAAATACGTTGCACTATGTATCATCGTTTGATAACGTCGTGGAGCGTCTGTATCATGTCAGAGTCGCTGCCAGGGTGGCCGTGCCATAATTGTCACTTTAGTGGACGGGCCGACTCACTTGAAGTACTTCAATTTGCCGATATAGGATGGTGTTTGCCGCCGTGGTTTCCTGAACCCGAATATTGTTATGTGCTCGTATTTCGCACCCTCGTAGTGTTAATGCATATTGTCCGTGATTTGTTTTTGCATTCACATGCTTGGTTATGGTGCCATTCATAGCTTATTTGATTCCAGGTCTTGCTCCCGTCATAGCTCGTGCTACTGCCCAGATTCCTGTATTGTGTAGTACAAAATGTGATTCGTGTTCGAAAATTGTTTGAAACGCACTAAGCTGGTTCAAGGCGAACTGATTACCGTAAATGTCCCCAGTCGTGCTGACGCAAGCCAGGCGCAAATAATTCGTTAGTCATATTTGTCTTGCTTGAGCGCTACACAGCCATTGAGGTGGCAGCGTTCGTGTGGCGTTTCGATGGCTTCACACATGCCTAGATGACCTTACAATAGTCTGCACAAGTTCGCGGGTGGCAAACTCAGAAACAAGGGGTCTTAAGTCTTAAAAAGAGCATGACTCTCAACTACACTGAATCATGTTAAAAATGGCTACCTCACTACAAAACGTAATACGCATGTGGAGCACTTCCTCTGAGGATTTGCTCTGTAAAAACGACCGTTGACCATACACCTGAGTGTGCAGAGGTCGTGACATGTGCTGTTCACGTACTGTCTGGACGACGCAAGTTTGGGACGGATATTGGTCAATATATCGTCTTACACGTTCATGTATAAGTTCTACATAGACGTAGAACGCTATGTGCAAGAGGATGTGGAAATGTGGGTAACAAGCATATGAATAGTGCAGGCTTGTGCATTGTCGTTGAGGCTTTTTCTTGTGCGGATGCTCCATGCTGTAGGGCTGTTTGTTTCTAAGCTGCCTGGTTCTTGTCCTTGATACCCTGTAACTCAGGCATAACCATGTCATTTGAGCAGGAAATGTGATGCTGTTACCGTGACCGAAAGTGTTAACCAGCCATTTGCTATTCCATTCCTATCGCTTCCATATATTAGCATACGTTCAGCGTGGCATGCAACGTGTGGTGGCGAAGAGAAGTATGTGTACCATCGACTAAGATATCGGTGATATTTTTGGGTGGCTCCCTATAAATCGGTCGATAAAATGAGGTTTAAATGAAAAAATGGATCATACCTTCATATTGCACGAATTACAACCAACATGAACAGTTTTGCATTGTTTGATTGGCACCAAGATTTCAAGATTTTTTCGCAACGGCTTAACAAAGTATTGTACCGAAACGCCTTCTTTAGTCACCAAATATACGAAGATTTTCAGAGAGAACATCCACAGGATTGGCTGAGTTGCCACCAAAAGGGTGATATAAGCACCGAAATGTAGTAGGAAAAAGGGAACTGCTGCCAGAATGCAGCACCAGAATGCAGGATTCTCTGCCGATCAGCGAAAATGACGTAAACAAAACTGGCACCAATTTGCGAATGTTTTTGAATGCAGACGCCACTTTTCACATGGAGTTGCGTCATGAGAGCGAGTCGCTGACTTGCACCGAATTTCGTACATACCTATACGTCCAGGGGCGCAACCGGGAATGGCGATGGGGGGGGGGGGGGGCAAGGGGAACATGTGGACTCCTCAGCCCTCCCAGCAGACCCACAGACTATCAAGAGTCCGATTCTAGGGCCTGAAGGGGTGGCCGGGGATGACCGTGGGTCGTACGCTGGGTCCTCAAAGGTTAGCGAATGGACATATTTGCGTCTATCGGGGGTCTCCTGGACAATGGATGCCCCTAGGTAGGCCAGAGACCACCAATTACTTAGCGGTTGGCCCTGGGTCGACTTGGGCTTTGGGGCCTGATTTACACGGCAGGAACAAGGCCGGGGTGCGTGACTGATATTGAAGACCTCCCGCGTTGGCTGGGTCCCTGAGACAAGGTAATGTAGTGTATGGGTCAGAGGCCCGGAGTGTTGAACAGGGGAGCCTGTGTCGGCAAGGGGCTCAGGGTCGGTCAGGGGCACATTTAGCTGAAGACAAGCGTTTGTACGCTTGCTTCGCTGCGCCAATGAGATAAGAACGTAGAAATTTGCATTGTCCATCTTTTGCAGTCGGATTTATGCCGCTGGCTGGTCCAGGGGCCGAGGCATGGCGCAACACGTTGAATAAAGAGACTTGGCTACAGGCCGCGCGGTGCTGGCGGCCTCTGACGGCTGCCGACAGGAGAGTGCATTTCGTCTTTGCAACACAGGCAAACCCGTTTCATGGGACCGGTAACTGACCATGGGACGCGACCAGCGATTTTTGCCTCTTCCATCAACTGTCCGCCTTTGAATGGTGGTAGCACGTACTTACAATGTGATTGGCCAACCATTGCACTATAAATGTCATACGAAATGCCCTGACTATGACACGACATCGCGGGGATTCCAGTCCAGAAACAATGGCATCGCCCATCATGCCCATTTCGCCCGGATCTTATCGACTTACCTCCAGCTCTCCCGCTACGCAGATGAGAAGCGATGGCACTGCTTATCGGCGAATATCAGGCTTATTTCGCCTAGATCTTAATAGGCAAAGGTCTTGGCCACGACACAACCCCGTGCGAAGTTTTTCCGACGTGTCATACCAAATGGAATCCTTATACTACACCGCGCATGTCCCTGAAATGGAGCGCGTGGCGGCGACACGATTTATGAAATCCCTACTCACCTACTGGAGAAACGACGGCAAGGCTAATCGGTGAACATCACGCTTATTTGGCCCTCATCTCATCTCCAGCTGACGCCGATACGCAGCTTGACGCTTCAGGCGTCTGGTCTTCGCCGATTGAGGCACCACTTCACACAAAGGAGTACTTACTGGAAAGCAATCACTTGCCATCCTCGACAGCACACCACACGAGCCGCACCAATGGAGCCGCGCTGGTCATGGTGAGGGTCTTGGTCATGGTGTGCCACGAACGAAAACCTGATCTAACAATGGAAGCAGAACATTAGCATGCGCCGTGATTTGGCGCCAGGGGGCATTATGCACCTCCGCTCGGGAGGATCAACTTGAGCACGGACTGCAGAGAACACTGAAGACCGCAAACATTCATATTTTGGATACACCTTTTCAACTAGAATTTTGTTTTTCGTTATTGCTATATTTTTGCACTTTTATTTATGGTATTGCTCCACGTATATTGCATCGCGTTCTCGCGACGAATGACAAAATTAATGGAAGATCCAGATGTGCCACTTCCATCACCAAGATACACACCCTGATCACTAGCTAAATCAGGAAGCCAAAATGGCCAGTTTATCACCAGAAGTAAAATCTGGTAAGGTTAACTGACCACACATCAGGCCTTAAACCTCCCATTACAGATGGAAGGGCGTGAACAATTACCAGAAACGAATTAAATCGTAGTTCGTTACTAAAAGCAAGAGCTTGTCGTGCTCAGTAGCCTAACTGGCATCAGCTCCTGCAGATGCCATCCCACCCGTGGCAGTATGAGGGTTCAAGTCGCTATGTTCGTGCTCGCAGGTGCACATCTAGGTTAATCAAACGCGGGAGCGGGAGGGGAGGCATCGCAGTGAAAATTAATCATGTAGGGGCAATGGCAGGGTGAGTCTCAGCGTTCTCGATCTGGGCAGCATATATGTACGCAAGCTATTTGACTACTGACTCGGACGGTCTGTGGCACCAGTCCTCCGGGTCATCCAATCGGGCCCTTGATAGCCTGTGCTGAGGGTCCCGAAGATCACTCAGGGCCCAGCGGCAGATGTCCAATCGGTGGTAAAGTGGTCATTTTGGTTGTGATTGATCCGCTTTGGTACAAGTGTCCAGTTTGGTTATGTTTGATTAATTTTTGGTAGTCACTTACTAGGGAGCCAGGACGTAATGAACAAAGTCGAAAGCCCGCTGCATGAGCAATCATTTTTACCTTTAACGCCCAAGGTGGACGCGTGGAGCCGGGGCTGTGACCTTCCGTTCCGTCCTCCTTC